TCTTAATTTTTCCGTTGCCAGGAACAAAAATTCTGATTCGCAGCAGTACCTATATCATCAGGTAGGCAATCTACCTGCGGTAGATGTTTGTAAGTAACTTTATAATTTAACTCTAAAGTATCAAAGTTATACCAAGTATGTCACTGAACTCCTCCTAAACGGTTGGACTAATATTGTGAATGTCGAGTCTGTCGACCAATATTTCCTCCTCGTCCACGAACACGTATCATCGTGATTGTTTCATGTACCATGTACGTAACTTATATGTGAGTATAATATTTACGCAATTATTGTGATACATAACACAGAGTACGAAAAAATTAAATGCATTGAATGAATACACTTATTGCACGGCAACCAATAATAGTTTATAATAATTTTAAAACCCATGGCAACCATTTATGAACAAAAATGTCCACCTTAAATCTCTAAATTTCCTGGTTGGACCTAGTTTGATGATTTGTAGCCTATCTGCCTATGTGTTATTCTGATGTATAAGCTATATTATTGTAAAGTTTCATTAAAATCCATTCAGTAGTTTTTACGTGAAAGAGTGCAGACAAAGTCACAGACTTTCGCATATTTTATAATATTAATAGGATTATATATAGGTGCCTATATACTTGTATATAGTTTAACGACGCCACAAATGTAATATAAAATGTTATATAGTATACAATAAAAGTGTAATTTGACGTGAATCACAGATCATTATGTTCGCCACATCATTTGATGTTCTTATTTTGCAGTAGGTAAACATTCTATAACGATATACAGGTATATATATTATGGTATACATAGGTATAGCTCAGATTATAACAACAATGTCGTGTAGGTAGGTACGTCATCGTTATGCGGGCGGGACATAAAATTGGATACACTGAAGAAAACCGTGAAATCGATAATAATTTTTCTCTGTACAATTTTTTTGTGATAGTATATATACTATTATTTAGGTATAGTAGGTATACCAGGCTATACAAGGCAATATATCTTTATAATAATATAATTTATATAGGTAATATAATATATGAATGAGGTGGGAATCTGTAAATATTATCTAGGTATATACTGATCGCTGTGTTCCATTCATATAATTGGATATATATACCTTTATAATTTGATCACGCGTTAAAAAAAAAAACTTTCAGACGTCTTAAAAAAAAAAAAAACAAACAAGTTCCAGTTCATTGAAACATATAGTTTCGATAAAAAAAAGCGTGACGTATATAATATTTGTAGTACGTTAAACTGCAATTAGACCTAAGTAATTTCAAATTTTATTATAATCATAGTTGTTTTGATAGAAATGATTAAAAATTAATTTTATCGATTAGCTAATTAGATACCTATATTTTATTGCAAAAAATAATTTAGGATCATGCATTTCATAACTATAATATTATAAATTATTTATGCTAGGTATATATTATATTATTATATATAGGTATTTTTAAAACTAAAGGTTAGTAAAAAACCTATGATGTATTATATATACCTACGAACCTATACCTATATGTATTATTATTTAGCAGTTCGATATATTTTAATATATTGTATTTATTGCATATTGTTTTTTTTTGTAATTATAATTATTATAGCCTATAGGTGTATACCTACCTATCTAGAGGAAAAGGAAGTTTATGAACTTTCATTAAATTTTTTTTGAACATTTCATAGACGAAATTTCCCTATACAGCTAAAAATCTACAGTTTCAATATAACCTATACAAGTCTATATAATAATTAATAATCAACAAATTTATGTTTAGGATTTTTTGAATTTATGTTCAAGTGGATTTTTTGTCAATAAATATGAAGGTAATTTATTACTTTAACTTAATTCCAGTAAATTTCTGTCTTTCGTTTTTTTTTTTTAATTTTACAATAATTGCAATTAAATTTTAAACTACTTATAAATATGCATTTGACAAAACATTTGTATTATTTTAAACATGACAAGAAAATATTGATTAACTTTTTTGTAAAAATTGAATTATACCTTATATTAATTTTGTCGTATTTTATTAAAATTTATTGTAAACATTTGATTTACTAAATAAATTAAATACATTAAAATTAATTATAAATAGTATAGGTATTATTAATTTGGGTTTTTGTGGCTTTAAATTATTTTAAGGGCATTATTATGGCATATTTTTTAAAGCCATTTACTATAGGTCATATATTTGCAGCAATGCAGCATTCTTTAAGTCGCATCAACTATACCGAGCCCTAACTGGTAATGTAAAATATAATATAGGTAGGTATACAAAGGTTCTATATATGTTTGTATATTATAAGTTTATACTTTATTATGTATTTCTCTGCGTTATCTTTTATTATTTTAATGAAGTGCAAATGATACAATATTATATGCAAACAATAACGTATCAATAACATTTATCACCCACAAGATCTCGCATCCATATGATGGGTTTAATGTTTTGCATCGTGTACCTATACCTATTGATATATACCTACCAAAACTATAGGCAAGTATGTATTATAATTTATACACATTGTATATAATTATGTAGGTATCTACCTTGTACCTAACTATCTATACTACCTACATGAAAATATATATTATAATTTAGCCCCCTTTTGTGAATCAAGATATTGTATTATACGACTACAAGGTCGGGGATTTTTGAAAGAGCTTGGAAAAAATATGGTCGCATGAAATATATAATCTAAGAACATTTTAAATATGAGAAAAATATACTGAAAAATGATTAATGAAATATACAATTTATTGCTGGTATAAAAGCTGCACATTAATAAAAAGTACCTATATATATACGATATACTTTTAATTAAGATGATAAGTAAAATTATATATATTTAAGTACCTTATAAACAACCTATAAATAATTATATTGACTATATACCTACCTACAAATTATATTATATAATTTATAACTGAGATAACATTATATTGAAATAATAATAATGTAGGTATATATATATGCTCTCGATAGATACACTAAAATTCATTGCTGAAGCCATAATTTTATCAAACACAAATTTCTTATACACACCTTGTATACTTGGTAAAATATAGTCTATAAATATAAAATATTTATGTTTGGTATATAATATTGAATATATAATAACGGCCAAACTTAAACGGATATTAAATTGCATTACGCTGAAAGTACATTTATAATATATTGTGATCGCATTATATATAATATAATAAAGTAGGTATCCATACATTCACGTACAATAATAATCTTTTTATAGAATATTTCTATAAAGTATATTATAATTAATAATTATTATACCTACCCATAATACTATACATTTATGCATATTATATTATTATTTATTCTTATTGTGATTACGACGATGAGCACGCAAATACACTTTTAGCAGTCGATTAGTGGGGACAAAATATGTTTAGAAATTTCACTGCGACGCTCACCTGTGCACGCAACTGAGATAACATTATATTGAAATAATATTAATATGATATAATATTTATAATTATTATAATAATATATTATAATATTTATGCTCTCGATACGTATAAGAAAATTCATTGCGCAAGCCATACGTATATCAAACACAAATTTCTTATACAAACCTTGTATACTTGGTAAATAGTCTATACCTATATATATATACAATATTGAATTGAAAATTTCAATTGCATATTATAATTTAAATATAGTGATGCATTACGCCGAGAGTGCATTTAATCGCTTTAGAATAGGTATCTCTGTATAAGTTTATTATTATACCCACAATACTATACCTTTATGCGTATATTATTATTATTTATTCTCATTGTGATTACGACGACTAGCGCGCAAATACACTTTTTGCAGTGGGAATTTGAGGGGAAAAAATATGTTTGGAAATTTCGCTCACGCTCACCTGTGCACGCGCACGCGGCGGTGGCGTGGTGCCGATGGCGGACGAGCAGAAAATCGATGGCTGGCGGGGAGGAGAGGTAGCGCACAATAGAATCGCGTCCGCAAGGTGTGGCGGGGGAGGCTGCAGAGGAATATTGCACTCGAGTTAATTATTGCGGTGAAACCGAAGCGCAAAAAAATATAAAAATACAAAAGGGGGGGTGTCGGGGTGGCGGCGGCGGCGGCGTCGGTAGGCGCGTCTCGGGCAAGGGGAGCGAATAGCCTGGGCACCCGCCGCCGCGCCGGCCGACGGGGTTTTCGTCCGTCGTCGCGCGCGGCGGCGGCGGTCTGTGTCACCGGGGGCCGCGACCGCGCGTGTGAATTGGTCAGAGGTGGCCGGGTCGGGAGCCAATGGCAGCACACCGGGCGCCCCGGTCGCTATGGTGACGGCGGTGGAGGGGAGCGGCGGCAGCAGCACCGTCGCCTTCGCCGTCGTGTACGCACGCCGCCGCCGCCGCGCACCGGTCTCCCCGGTCGGGTCTACTAACCTAACCCGGTGGCCCGCGGGTCAGTTCACTCCGATCTGGGATCGCGGCCGCCAGGTCTCCGAAAGGTCAAAAATCCGAAACGATCGTCGTCCGTGCCGCCACGTTTCGCGCGTGTGAATTTTATTCGTCATCCGAAATCTGTTTTTTTGTTTTTATTTAATTTTTTTTTTCGCTCGCCACTAATCGATACGAGATCAAAATTATTACTGACGAAATCGGCGAAAAAAAAAGTGTGTTCTACCGCGGAGTGTTTGCCGCCGGGAAAATAATACAGTTTGCAGTTATTCATCTCGCGTTTCTATATCGGTAAAACAAAAAAGTCGTTTGTTCAGTGTTTTTTTTTTTCGCCGACCACTGCAACTACAGTCGAACAGCGGTACATCGCGCGCCCAGGCGCCTGGCGGTTTCCCGCGCGGCGAGCGACCGGCACCACCTGCACCGCCGCCAAGTCGGGGCACCAGCCCGACAGTCTCAGCAGCAGCTCAGGTGCACACCGGCAAGCACCATTATTATTCCGCATAACGGCCTCGCGGTGTGTCGCGCGGCGGTAGGCGGACTATGCACAGTGTCCGGTGGCGGAGGTCCCGGCATGACGGGCGTCGGCGGCCCGACCGGCGGGTCGGCCGCGCCGCCGTCGCACCAGGGTCCGCCGCACGGCGGGCCGCCGGACCTGCTGGCCAGTGGACACCACCACGATCTCGGTGGGTTCACCCGGAGCATGTCGCTGGTGACGCCGGCGTGGCGCGACACACCCACCGGCGGCCACCATCTGGACGAGCCGCAGCAAAGCACCACGCCGGGGACGGCCAGCTCGCAGTCCGGCGGTTCGCTGGTCACGCTCGGCGGACAGTGCGATAAGAACGGACAGAACATCGAGTGCGTCGTGTGCGGTGACAAGAGCAGCGGCAAACACTACGGACAGTTTACTTGCGAAGGTCAGTGCGGTTTACTGCGTATATTGCGTACACATAATATATTGTTGTATAATAATATTATGCGATCGATTTATATAAATATTATTATTTATAACGAGTTTTAAAAAGATAATTTTTAGTTATCTAAAGGCGCGTTGGCTTGTTGAAATGTTAAATGTCAAAAAATTGTCAAAAAAAATTATAAGTGTGCGATTATAATATACAATTTATAAAAATTCAAACGATTTTAGATCGACGTATAAGATCACAAAAATAAAAAAATAATTTGCGACCTAAAGATTTTACGCGTACCTTATTACGTTGTTATTCGATTGAAAAATAAATATTTTTTTTCTCGACCGCCGCGTGGCGGGAAAACGCGCTAAAAATCCTACGCTTATTCGATTGAAATTTCAACGGACGTACACGATAAAAATCAACCTATATAAAAAACATATATTTCGTTTTATCACATTAATTCTTTGAGTTATATACAGCAGGCTACAGGCAAACGTATTCTATAACATATAATCAGTTCTAATATAATATTCGCGAGCGAGTGATCGTCTTGACTGTTGTCGAGACGGCTTCGTAGAGGAAAATATTACGAAAAGCGATAAAAAAAAAAAGGCTGAAACTGCTGGCGACGACTTATCCGCTCGCTACTTACGGCGATAACTGCAAAAACGTAATATTGATAAAAAAAAATATGATGATAATAAAATTTAATACGGCCCGGCGCGGTTTCCGATTGCGCGCCGCTGAGCACATAATATACACACGAACACGCGCGCGCGCGCCAGAACCGGATTCCTTTGGGTCAACCGGTCGGCGGGTCATAACCCGACGTGTGTCTGCTGCCACCGACGCCGCCGCCTCATCTGAGTGGGTTTGTTTTTTGTGTGCTCGCCCGACACCCGCCCGCGACGGATATATAATAATAATAATAATAATAATACGCCGCCGCCGCCCCTCGGAAATGTAAACATCGCGACACGCGCGCGAGGTGATCCGAACGCGATTCCCGGCCCTTTGCTAAAAAAACCTAAAATAATATAATAAAAATCGCGAAAAATTAATGCGCATAATATAATATTATTATAATTGTAAATTTATCTCAAATTTTATTGTGACGTTGTTGTGAAGCTGCGTTGTGATGGTGTGTGATGAAGAGCCAAAGTGAATTCGTTAAATAAAATATTGTCAGACACGCGCGAGATAATCCGAACGCGAGTCCCCTGTGCTAGCAAAAACGATAATAATATTATACAAATCGCGACAAATTAATATGCAAAATATATTATAATTTTATTGTGATATTGTTGCGAAGCTGTTGTGATAGTGTGATGAAAAGCCAGAGTGAATTCGTTAAATAAAATATATACTGTCATTTTCCGCGTTCAAAATAATATATTAATTATCGATCGCAGCGGCGGCGTCGGTCACTGCCGTGGGGTAATAATAATTTATTACAAGTACCTATGTTTGGGTATTCGGCCGATTCCTTTATTAAAGTGGTTAAAGATTTAGGTTATAGGTATTAAATTATAATATTATATAGGTTGCGATAGGCAGGTACATGGGCATATTATATAAAAATGACAACATTTCCGGGAAAATCACTGGAAAAATCGTACACTATCTAATATATACTATAATATGGTAGCACGTGTTCTCATAGTAGATTTTTTATAAATAGTGATTTATTGTAATCATTCAAAAATGACACACTTAAAATCGTATGTCGCCGCAATCGCAGAGAAACACGTTTTTTGTTTACTGCAAGCAATAATAATTGATAAATGTCAAACACATATTACACAAGTTTTCATGACTATAATAATTATTCAATAATATACAGAAAAAAAATAACTTCTTGTCTGCTTTATTTCGTTGCTCGTCTTCCAACACTAAAATTATATTTAAAATATGTATTTTATTTCAAAAAACATATTACCCATCATATAGTTGAGATATTAATATTAATAATATATGGGTATAATTACCTGTACATGACATTATTTTTAAATGCACATATAATTACGATCGGGTTTACTGCACGTTACTGCAGTTGAGGAAAAAATTATATTAGTAAATATAATTTTATTGCAAAATCGGCCACGTTTGTAGGTGTAAAAAATATCATTATACCTATACGTCATATACCTCTATATATTATACGGATATTGCAATGGTATAAAAACGCGTTTTTTAAATATTTCCGATGAATTTTTTTTTTTTATTATATGTTACCTATATACCCAAATATCAATGTACTGATAAATAGGTACCAACATGGTATTATGTAAATTTTTTAAATTTCGTTTGACCGCACCAACCTGCAGCGATTGGGCACGAGCTGGAAATCACACCTCAGTATTTATATATATATATACACACGTTAAATATATTGCTGCTAGCAGTATGGATTAAAGTGTAAAATTGACTAAACGTTTTTTTTTTCAAATCGCGGTAGACCGTGTCCAATTTGTCACCGTTCTTGTTTTGGTTTTATGCAAACATGAGCGATTTCCATTAATACCACCCATATGCATAATAAGCGTACCTATACCTATGTTGCAGTGTTTTTTTCTGTTTTTATACAACTATGGTAAGACTACACAAAGATCGCAGAGGGATTTAACTTGAAAAAAAACTTAAAATGATGTATACCTAATATCTAACGCCTCCACGCAGTCAACGCGAAAACACGAGCATGCGGTCTGCAACCGGTTGCTTCGTTGCAACATAATATAAATGTGAGTGTGTGTTTGTGTATGTCTGTGTCTGTGTGTAAATGTATAGGTATAGGTAATAACAACATTCGATCATATCGCGGCCGGGACAAGTGGTCGAAAAAAATAAAATCATCGGGCTGGTGATGTTTTTAAATTTCAATATTATGATAATAACCGATTGATTTTGAAAAACGATTTTGAACTGAATATATTTTTTTGAAACGATTTAGTGTGCCTCTCTAAAATCCCAATTGTATATTATATTAAATGTTCAATCAGATATCACCTATATACATACGTATTATTCGTATTAAACTTTTAGCCGAACAAAAAAGAGTTAAACGAAAATAATATAGTCGCAATAACTCGCCATCGTATTGTTATTTACAAGCTAATATAAGCACTTTCTTTGACTTTTACTACATAAGTACATAACACATAATATAATATATAGGTATGCGTAGAATGACGATCACATTATATCATATTATACATTTATGCCCCCGCGGGCGAAAATCGGAAACTATTTTTTTGCTTCTTTTTTACATGCATAAAATATATATCATACTTGTCGGTAATGCATATTATAACGTTCAAAAACGCTCTTGCAGGGAGGTGATAATAATATGGTCTGTAGTACGTTATATATGTATACCTGTTGCAGATACACATTATGCACTGTGAACAACCCCTCGACAACGATGATTTGTCGGTTTCCGATGGAAATGTTAATTTTCGCATTAACCTTTATTATAGTCGCTGCAACAGGTGCACATTTTAATATAATATGTGTAGATACTATAGTAATTTGCAGCCATAAATCGAAAAATTATCTATCCAGATCAATATTTTGGTATATATCGTGGTCAATATTTTTTAATTCACAAAACTACAATCTCACAAAAACACACTGCAGGGCACTATACATTTTTGAAAATAATAACTATACAATTTTATACCTATTGGTTTTTTTTTATCGATATTTAATGTACGTAGGTATTGAGCATGATAATATAATGTAACGGAAATATGTACATAAGTCAGATATAATTATATAATATAGGTACAGTTTTCCTGTAAATAACCACTTGAACACGTGCCCTTAAAAAATGTATATAATGTATATATAGTTTGACATAAATATATCGTGTTACTTGTAAACGATACCTGCTGGTTTACAAATATGTACCTAATGTATATAGTACCGATGTAGGTATACTATATATATATATATGTTTATGGTATCTATAATATTATAATACTACTGCAGGTATATGCGTTCCCGACAAAATCTGCGACAGATGAAAGTACCTACATAAACGACTGCAAATTAAATACAAAAATTGCGTGTTCAAGAATAATATATATGCTTTAACTTAATTATTATGTTTCCGTTTACGCGCTGATTATTCCTATATGTATAATATTAACTATATTTAACTACCTCGGCAGTATATTAGTATAATAATAGGGCAGACTCGCATAATATTATCCTTCTATATAATAATATAATATATAGGTAGATATTTCGCTACTAGTATGTATATATAATTAAACACGCGAAATCACCTCGTCGTCTGAATAGAGCACCGTCCCGACGATTTCTGTTGGAACAAAAAACGGCACCTTATCCGTCTTGTACTTTTTATTATATTGTATCATGTCTTTATATCATCAACTCTTTATGCCTAGGCACAATAATAATAATAATAGTCGGGGTAGTATTCACACTTGGTTTTTATTAAGCAACTCGATCCGAGCGGAGATTTCAGAGGAGTGACGGAGAGAGCGAAGTGATAAACGAAAACAAAAAAAAAACATTTTCACCCCCCTTTTTATAATAATGCGACCACTTTTCATAAGGTTTTTACACTCGTGTATTAGGGTATATACACGAATTGTTGTTGTACCACCGACTACCTACGCCGTTTCATTTAAAATATTTTTTTTTTGTACTCCCGTTTTTTTTATAATATATAATGACCAGGCCGAGGACGACACACAAATGATAATGACGATAATAATATAAACCGCATTTCAGATGCCAGGCCGGTCGGTCCCGGTCGTATAACGAATCCCGCACGACGAGAGCATATACCCTTCATTATCACAATAAGCAGCTATAGCAGTTCATTTCTCTCTCCCTCTCTCTCTCTCTCTCCGACGGAGTCTCTCTCTTTTTTTCCCGTTTTTTATTATTATTATTTTTTTTGTTAACGTGATCTTTTTTTTATTATTAGTTCCCCCTCGTCGTGTCTCAGTCCCGGGCACGAGTCCGACGCG